ATTCTGTGTCCCTAACTAGCGTTTCTTTGTCCCTAAGTAACGATTCTGTGGCCCTAATTAACAAATCTGTGTCCCTGAGTAATAGTTCTCTGTCCCTAAGTATCGTTTTCTCTGTCCCCAAGTATCGTTTCTGTGGCCCTAACTCTGTCCCTGTCCCTAATACAGAGCGGTCTGCCTCTGTTCAATGACTGCAGGCAAATGAGGAATTCCAAAATGGCCGCTATTTATAGCTCGACCATTACACAGTGCTAGCTGGCTGGCTGCTGATTGGCTGATGCGATCACATGTCGTTGAGGAATGCATTATGGGTCAGCGCGCCTTGTCTGCGCGCCTTCCCAGACATCCCCGCTCCGTCGCCGCACATGTCAGCCGCCATTTTCGGAAAAATTTCGATTCGCGTGTCCGAATTAGGCTATTTTTCGGATTCGGCGCGAATCGAAATTTTTCCGATATTCGACTCGAATTCCACTTCGGCTACTTCGATTCGCTCATCTCTAGCCAATACGCCTTGGTTTGTAAGCAGATCCAAGTTGCGGAGCAGAAAGGGTCTTTGATCTCCTCTGTTACGATGTTAAGATCAGGAGATGTGTTTTGCTTACCCTCTAGGCTTGCCAGCCTGTCTTTTTTAAAATCCCCCGGCAAAGGGGGGGTGGCTCTGAGTCTGGCCAATACCCTGTTTTGGGCAGGATGTCAGCGGACTCTCAGTTAAAACTAACAGCTTCATAATTCCTTGATATGAAACATAGGTGACAGCTGACCTGAGGAATGTTCAATTAACTCCTGTCATCTGGCTGGTCGGTTTTAGCAGGTTCCAACTTCTTTCAAGTCCAGGAAAAAACTATCTTATCTTGATTAGGAGGGGTGAGATTTCACAGGCCTTGGGACAACCAGTCTCTGGCTTCATGGGGGGGGCTTTATAGTTCTGGGCCCCCTGCTGTTCCAGCCTGCCAGTGACTTTTTTTAACACACATACATCTGTCCCTGTGCTTCTCAGGAAGGGAGGGGGTAGGGAAGGAAGGATAGAGGAATACGTCTAATAATAAAATTAAAAAAAGGGGAACTCTGGTCCATCACTGATGAGCAAGTTTGCTACAGTTAATGATTGATCACAGGCACAGCCACTCAGGGAGGCTCAGGATAGGTGGTAACAGTCCAGCTGGCAGGCGGAACAGAAGATGTTGCCATCCTCCAGACTCCGGGGCCTGATCACTAGCCCAACTCCTAAGCCTTGCTGCAGAGCTAATTTGTCTGGCCCTAATGGGCCCCATGAGCACCTGGGGCTCTGGGCAGTGCTCAGGGATGCAAGCTCAATAAGACGGCCCTGGCATTAAGGTCCCCTGTCCCTCAAAACTGGGGTAATGCGTTAGGCAAATTAGGCTGCCACGAGGCCCCTGTGAGCATGAGGCCTTAAGCAACTGCTTAATTTGCCTCATATGAGCTTCCCAGTCACCTAACATAAATGAAAATCTGCTTTTCAGGATCAGGGTATCTTCCTGTCATGTACCCAGTAATGGAGCCTGGAGTGGCATGAGTGCCTGGCAGTTCTGGCAAGGAGGCTGCAGATGAGAAGTCTGTGTGTACTCAGATGCAGGCTGAATCATGTTGCAGGGCAGCAGGCACAACTGTCTGGTAGACAGTCAGCACGCTCTTGGCAGGCTGGCAGGTCACAGGCAGCTATGAGTACAGAGCTCTTAGCAGAGCTACAGTAAACAGAATATAAGATATCATAATATAATTTTTTCCTGTTAAAATTCTTTTATTTTTCTACAGATTGTATAATAATCACCTGACAGATAGTTCGTGCCCCCACCTGGCATCTGGAATAAAAAATAATAAACACTATGGGCACTGAACCTGCCATATAACAATCTGGAGGGTCCTAATTTCAGTGATCTGATGGCAGCTCTGACAACAAGACGGATGGAGGAATTACAGTGAGTATATCAGGACTGACTAAAACAATAGTTCATCTGGGGGGTAGTTTTATATCTAAACTACAAAAATAATACAAAGTAATAATAATTGTAGAGGCCCTCCTGACTGGGGTAGAGGATGATTTACCTTTAGCACAAGGAGGAGCATTACTCTAGGATGGATCTATGGCTGCAATAGAGATAGTTACAACAACAATGGGCGTCAGTCACTTTACTCTATTTTTAGAGGTCATTTGCTCCAGCTCACAGGAAGAATTAGGATTCAGGTCTCTTACTGCAATAGGGTTTCAGACGCCACCAGATTTTCTCTTCTATCCAAGGGAGTGCCAAGATCTTCTGAGGGTAAACACCAATCCCCATCCATGAAGACTTTCATCCTCTGGCTCAACCACCTTGATTGCTGTACCCTCCTTGAACAGGCAGGACAGCTTGAGATTTTTTGAGCTAGGCTGCAACCAGACTCTGGCCTTCTCAGCACAAAACATTATAGACACCTTCCCCAGGGCACAGTCGGGGGGAAAGAGCTCACCAGGGCATTCCCCAAACATTTTATGCCTCCTGCAGCATGCACCTCTGGCAGAAACCTCCTAATGGTGGCCATAAGGGACACACATGCTCTATTGAGAACAAGATTTTCACCGTTCCAATAACTATTGCCCTGGGTGCCAGTTACACCCAGTGGTGGCAGCAGGGAACCACAGCCACCCTTAACCTAGGGGACAAACCAAGTGTTGGAAACTACAGATTGGCCTGAGTAAATTAGTACCCAGAAGAACTAAATTTATTAGACACTTCTGATGACAGGGTGTCTAAATATTGTAATTATATTGATATTCTGTTTGTCTCTGTGAATAGCCAATCCCGGACTGTTGTCTAATTCTTGGCTCTTATCACACTCTGTTATTAGCCATGAAATAGTCATTTCATAAAACATTACTAAACATGTTATGTTTTGTCTGGTAACTAGAAAATAGATGAGATTATAAGAGATCATATATGGGGGAACCTGATCTTAATGCAATGAGCAATCAGAGCCTCATATGAGTTTCATTTCACCTGCCATGGCCATCCACTTTTCAATGTCAGGGGGATCTCTCCATTACTACACATATCTGCTAATTAGTGTCAGGAAGATCTCCCCATAACTACACATCTGCTTTTCAGTGTCGGGGGAACTCCCTATTACTACACAAACTCACACCAAGCTGTCACCAATACATGACAGTGACACTCTCAGCCTCACTCTGCACAAAGACTTCCAGCTTGCAGGACCACAATGAAGGTGCCAGCAGAATGACAGTGATCGACACTGCATTTACTTAACTACACAATTAAGCCATTACACTGGTTTAAAAAATAAGTTGTCCACATAGTGAACATGGTGTAGTTATTCAACTTAAGGTTATTCACAAAGAACTAGGGGGCATTCGTCTGGAAAAAAAGATATTTAACTTCCAAATACAGAAGGTGTCTTCACAGTAAGACCTGGGAAAATGTGGAATAGACTCCCTCAATAGCTAGTTCTGGCCAGCTCAGTAGATTGTTTTAAAAATGGCCTGAATTCTTTCCTAAGGACTGGTAAGAACTTATGGGAGGGGGTCACTGATGCCTCTGTGTCTCCTATTGTCATTGCTGACCTATGACTTTTAACCACTTACGGTCTGGCCAATGTTAATACCCCCTGGGGTATGCAGCAGCACAATATGTGACCCAATGGCCCTGATTTACTATTGTGCCTAGGCGCATTTCTGTGGGCGAACATCTACTTTTTACTAGCGACCGTCTACTTTTACCCCGCTAAGAGATTTACTAAAGAGAAGCATCAACAAGTAGACGCCAAATCGAATTTACTAACGAGACGCAGACCAGGAATCAGACTCAAAAAGCAGACTTGCTAAGAGGCACGTCTAACACCATGAAAAATCACTGCAGAAACATGTTCACATTGAAATTTGCTTTGCCAAATATCAGGACTTCACTTTAACCACTTGCCTACCAGGCATTTATACCCCCTTATTTACCAGGCCAATTTTCAGCTTTCAGCGCTGCCGCACTTTGATTGACAATTGCGCAGTCATGCAACATTGTACCCATATGAAATTTTGATCATTTTTTTCTCACAAATAGAGCTTTCTTTTGGTGGTATTTAATCGCCACTGGGCGCTTTACTTTTTGCGCTATAAATAAAAAAAGCCCAAAAAATTTGAAAAAAAAAAAAAAAAGTTTCTTTGTTTCTATTATAAAATTTTTCAAACAGGTAATTTTTCTCCTTCACTGATGTGCGTTGATGAGGCAGCACTGATGGGCACTGATAGGCGGCACTGATGGGCACTAATAGGCAGCACTAAAGGGCACTGATAGGCAGTACTAATGAGGTGGCACGGATAGGCGGCACTGATAGACAGCACTAATGAGGTGTCACGGATAGGCGGCACTAATATGCAGCACTGATAGGCGGCACTGATGATGGGTACTGATAGACGGCACTGACTGGCATCACTGCTGGGCACTGACTGGCGGCACTGACTGGCACAACCCCTGGGCACTGACTGGTGGCACTGACTGGCAGCACTGGTGGGTGGCACTGGTGGGTGGGCACAGGTGGGTGGGCACAGGTGGGTGGCACTGCTGGGCACAGGTGGGTGGCACTTCTGGACACAGGTGTGTGACACTGCAGAGTGGCACAGGTGGGTGCACTGCTGGGCACAGGTGGGTGATCTGCTGGGCACAGGTGGGCGGAGCTAGTGGGCACACTGCTGGGCACAGGTGGGCGGAGCTTGCGGGTGGCACTGCTGGGCACCGATCATCAGGGCACTGATCATCAGTGCCCTGATGATCGGTGCCGATCCCCGCTCTGACAACTGCCAGTTCTCGGCAGTACTTTCCTCACGATCTGACAGCGTGAGGAAAGTGCAGCCGAGAAGCGGCACTTGCATTTTCCTCTGATCAGCCTGTCATTGGACACCGCTGATCACGTTGTAAAAGGCCGCTGTGATTGGCCTTTTACCACATCACGTGATCAGCTGTGTCCGCAGGACACAGCGATCACGGAGATCGCCGGGTGCGCGCCCCCTGGGGCGCGCAGGAGAGCGCGTTCTGGGAGGACGTCATATGACGTCCACCCAGAACTGGCCGGCCGCAGTTCAGCCGTCATTCGGCTATCTGCGGTCGGCAACAAGTTAAACAATATCTGCCATTTCCAAAAAAAATGTAAAATGTGTTAGAAAGTTTTTTTTTAAGCAAGTCGACACAGTCAAGAACTAGACGCTTGTGCAGTGTATTTGTCCGATATAAATGCGCATGTGCAGAACACATTTTAGACATCCTCTGTGGGTGCTTGCTTTTTAGCCGCTGTTCAATAGTAAATCTCTGTGTGGAGTCCTCTGACAGCCGGCAATCGGTCACGTCTACTTTGTTTAACAAACAGCACTAGGCATATCTTTATGTATTCTAATTTGATTTTCTTAGTTCTATTGATTCTATTTTTGTTTCTTATCCTTTATAATTATTTCTGTAATGATTTTACTTATTTCGAAGGTCTAGATATCAAGGTCCTACCTTTCCTCAGGGCTTGTGCTGCTCCATGTGCTGGCATCCATCTTAGTTCTGCAAAGCATTGTGGGATCCTTTATGCTTTCAGCCCTCTGCGTCTCCTCCAAGGAGGTGGTGGCTTATCACATTTAAGTCTGCTGTTTGCAGCTGTCCATTACATTCGTGTCCTGTCTGTTGCACAGCAGCAAGCTCCTGTTTAGTTAACTCTTTGCTCTCCTGGATACCAACTCGGCTTTGGCTAAGACTCCTCCTGGCTTCTGCCCCGTCTCTGGCGACCATTCTTCCTGGCTTCTGACCCCAGCTCTGGCGACTATTCTTCCTGGCTTCTGACCCCGGCTCTGGTGACCATTCTTCCTGGCTTCTGACCCCGGCTTTGGCTACGATTCCCGCTGGTTCTCAACTTGATTATCCTGGAAGACGACCTCGGCAGGGGAAATTCTGTCCTACCAAGTCATCCGCTGTTGCTGTCGTACTTGCATAGACTCTTGCCTTATTTCTGTGTAATAAACCTACGTTTAATTACACCTCCTTGTGTGTCTGGCTCCTCGCCCCCCTGACACTAGATAATATTTATTTTGACAGCTGAATGTAAAAATAAAGGTCTGCAATAAAAAAAAATAAAAAAAACAGCGTGGGGCCCCCCCTCTCATCCATACCAGGCCCTTCAGGTCTGGTATGAATATTAAGGGGTAACTCCATGCCGAAATTAAAAAATAAAACAGCGTGGAGTCCCCCCCAAAATCCATACCAGACCCTTATCCGAGCATGCAGCCCGGCAGGTCAGGAAAGGGGGGGGACGAGCGAGCCCCCCCCCTCCTGAATCATACCAGGCCACATGCCCTCAACATGTGGGGGTGCTTTGGGCAGGGGGGCTCCCCCCCAAAGCACCTTGTCCCCATGTTGATGAGGACAAGGGCCTCTTCCCCACAACCTTGGCCGGTGGTTGTGGGGGTCTGCAGGAGGGAGGCTTATCAGAATCTGGAAGCCCCCTTTAACAAGGAGCCCCCAGATCCCGCCCCCCCCATCGTGAATCAGTATGCGGTACACGCTACTAATTCACAAAAAAGCAAAAGTGTAGTGTAAAAAAACACAGTACAGGGTCTTTGACAAGTCCTTTATTAAAACAATGTCCCCCGAAGTAGATCCAACGTCAATCACGGCGACCCGAAAAATGAAAAACAAAAAACCGTTCCGCACTCGACGAGGCTCATTAGCCTTATGCAGCCAGTCTCACTAACATTTCTTGTATAGGTAAGGGGCGGGGCCAGCCGGGGACATCATCTGAGTGACCCCGCCCCATGTGACATCATTGATGTCACATGGGGTGGGATCACATGCTTGATGTCCCCGGCTGGCCCCGCCCCTTACCTATTTAAGAACTGTCAGACACTCACTGCATAAGGCTGGTAGCCTCTGTCTAGAGCGGAGCTTTTTTTTTTTCTTCTTTTTTCGGGTCGCCGTGATTGACGTTGGATCTACTTCGGGGGACATTGTTTTAATAAAGGACTTGTCAAAGACCCTGTACTGTGTTTTTTTACACTACACTTTTGCTGTTTTTGTGAATGAGTAGTGATACCATGTACCGCATACTCATTCATGTAGGGGGGGGCTGGGATCTGGGGGCCCCCTTGTTAAAGGTGGCTTCCAGATTCTGATAATCCCCCCTCCCGCAGACCCCCACAACCACCGGCAAGGGTTGTGGGGAAGAGGCCCTTGTCCCCATCAACATGGGGACAAGGTGCTTTGGGGGGGAGCCCCCCTGCCCCAAAGCATCCCCCCATGTTGAGGGCATGTGGCCTGGTATGGTTCAAGAGGGGGGGCGCACCCCCCCTTTCCTGACCTGCCGGGCTGAATGCTCAGATAAGGGTCTGGTATGGATTTTAGGGGGAACCCCACGCTGTTTTTTTTTAAATTTTGGCGTGGAGTTACCCCTTAATATCCATACCAGACCCGAAGGGCCTGGCATGGATGGGAGGGGGGACCCCATGCTGTTTTTTTTATTATTTATTTAATTGACGGAAATTATTTAAAATTCAGCTGTCAGTGGTGAACCCCGCTGACAGCTGAAACATTACTTATGTCCCTGCAGAGAGCTCCGCTATTATATTTGACATTAAAAAGTATAGAGTTTGCAACATTGTATCTATTTGTATCCATTTTGGATATAGATGGTTTTATTAGGATACAAATAGATACAATGTTGCAACCTCTATACTTTTTAATGTCAAATATAATAGTACAGCTCTCTGCAGGGACAGAAGTAATTACTTCGCTATTATATTTGCCAAGGTACGCCTGTACTAGTATTGCAATCCTTTGTATTGGGATACATAGAACCAACATACATCTGAATTGGCAACATAGTTCAACATTTGTGTCACATTTGAAATATCTGGCTAGTTACACTGACCTTGCCAGGGATGTAGGGTTAATTCACACCACAGAAATACAGGCAGGATTAGTGTTCAACAGCTCTGTGGTTGTTGGTTTGAATCCCAACCATGACAATGAATTTACATGATCTCTGTGTGACTACCCTAACATACATGTGCTGGTGGCAGCATCTTTGCTTTCTGTCTAAATGATCCCTAGAATGTGAATTAACATGAGGCCTTGTCTGGTCAAGCACCGTTAAAGTTGCACCTTATGTGAATGTCAAACGATGGGATGAGATAAGGGCCTGGACTAATGATTGATTGGATATGCTGGTTTGCACTCCACCTCCTTTTGGGAAAGTTTGTCAAACCATGAGAAGAGTGAGCGAGAGAGAGAAAAGGATTAAAAAAAAAAAAAAAAAATAATGGCATGGAGTCCCCCCCCCCCCCCCCCCCCAAATCCATAACAGACCCTTATCCGAGCATGCAGATACCGCATGCCTTCAAAGATTTATTTCCTTTGTTGAATTACCTGCTTGGTTCACACTAGATGCGATTTAAAATTGTGCTTTTTGTTGGCAATTTCACCGTATTTTCTGTAGATTTACCAATGAGTTATTGCGTTTTCAATTGTGTTTTGCATTGCGGCTTCTATTGTAGTCTATATGTGAAACTGCTACAAAATGCTGAAAAAGTTAGACAAGAACTACTTTTGAAATTGTGCTGCAGCAAATCGCTTACGTTAAGACACTCACATCCACATTCATTAGATCCCATATCACGTATAATTTCAATTCCCAAATTGCACCTGAAATCGTGCACCCTGGATGCGACCTGGCATGCGATTTGCATGGCATGCGACTTGCAAATCGTATGCCAAGTCGCACCCTATTGTCTGCTATTAGAGCAGTCACATGGGTGCGTTTCCGACACTGATTTCTAAAGTAGTACATGTACTACTTTTGTTATGATTTGCATAGATATCTGTGTCAGATATCTTGCAAATCGCAAGGAAATTAGCATCTTCACTGTACGCACATATGCAAGTATGTCCAAACTAACAAACCAAAAGCCCCCTATTGCGCCACAAGACCATGTTATGTAGCAATGAATAGGTCGTGTTCAATGTCCAGCTAGCTATTCTTTTTCTACAATCCTCTTAACAGTAATAAATTGGGCCCCCCAATTTATGTTGACTTTGGGCCTTTACTGGCAAATATATATTCGCCAATGTCATATACACAGTATAGCTGCAAGCATACATTCACCAATGCCAAATCCACAATAGAACTGCAAACATATATTTGCTAATGTCATATACACAATGGAGCCGCATGTAAAATTGCTATGGTGCACAAATAAATGCCAAGACAGCTGTTGGAGGAGGCGCTAGAGCAGCTGTCATACCGGAAATACGCCATGAAGTTTGTGGAAGGACATTTGCACACAACCGGAAGTGGTAGTGGGGAGTGTAGTTAGGAGAGCTTCGCGGTAATTTGCAAATCTATTTTTTATCACAAGTGTAATAAAAGCGCCACACCCTTAATACTTTAAAGCAGCAATTCCACCTCAAAGAAACCAAATAAATTTCTTAGTGCTATAACTTAAATCAAGGAATGCGCTAAAACCACAAACTATTCCTAATTTAGTGTAGAAACATTAGTGCAAAAGATATATATATATCTATTATCAATTAATATCAAAAAATATCAAAATTATGTGCAAAACATAAGTAATTTAAATAATTAAATTTGTGAATATATAAAAAAAAAACAAAAATGTCCAATTCTGAATTTCTTCAAATGTCCAAATAAATCCTTTCCAAATTCAGGTGCTCTCAAAGAAATTGTGCCAAAATCCACCACCAAA